TGCCGGCACCCCCTGTCCCCCTCACAGGCGGAGTCGCCTGCTCGCTGCGACGGACAGAGCGGCGAAACAAGGATTTCATCTTCGGGAAAAGGGGATCGGCGGTCTTGGATTGGTCTCGGAGCTGACCAGACCGCCCCCCTCCCCTCTGTCTTCCTTTTCCTTTCTCCTTTCTCTCCCCCCACCCACACCCAGCGCTGCTCGGCCGCGCGGCCCCACCCGCCGCCGGGACCCCCGTAGCAACCAGCAGAGGAAAACGAACGAGCTGAAGAGATTTTCGCTTCCCTTTATAGAAAAGGATGAAAGAAGAAGGCTTCTGTCGCTGCCTTTGGCTTGTTCTAGCGGGGCAAGGTATCTCGGGCCGGCCAGGGCTATATCATTAATGATGTCGGCTGTGTACAAAGACCATTGTGCCGGCCCCGGCCCGGCCCCGCCGCTGCCGCCCGGGCGCCTCGCTTCCGGCCGCGCTAGTGGTACTTCCCCCTCTATTGCTCTCTCCCTCTCTCTATCCGATACGAAAAAAGAAAAGAAAGAGAGACACACACGAGCAGCCTTCATACCAGCGCACCGCACACAAGAGAGCAGAGAGACGGACACTGGACGGGCTGAGCGACGCAGACAGACGGACAGAGAGGAGGGAGAAGGGGGAGGAGGGGAAAAAAACCTTTGCTGCTTGACCAGCAGGGCGCGGCAGCCGCCGCCAGAGAACTAATCAAACTTTGATAGTCTTCGGGGCAAACTCAGCGAAGAACCAACACTGGATTGAGATGGTGGAGAAATGCGGAAGGAGAAGTAGGGGGAGCACGGCGGCCGCGAGGCGCGTGAGACGGCAGCGGGGCCACATGTGCGTGTGTGTCTGTAAGTGTGTGTGTGTGTGAGAGAGAGAGAGAGAGAGAGAGAGAGAGAGAGAGAGAGAGAGAGAGAGAGAGAGAGAGAGAGAGAGACGCTGAGGCAGAGGCAGGGAGAGATGGGGGTGAGCCCCGGAGGCTGCCTTGCCGTCAGGCGCACTCGACCGGCGTGTGCTTTTATTTGCTGGACGTGTCATAGCTCAGTCGGCTGGGGTTTAGGTGCCTCCCCCCCCCCTTTACCCCCCATCCTCCTGCGACTTGACACGTTTCCGGCGGAGAGGAGCTTCATCTAGGCGGCCGCGGAGCCGGAACTCCCGCGGAGGAAAGAAAACAGAGAGGAAACCTGGAAACATTACTAACTGGTGCGGGGGTTGCCGGCTTTTCGGTTCCGGTTGTGGTTAGCGGGAATTTTGTCAAAGTTTGCGGAATTTGGGGAGTTACAAAGAGTACAGCCTCTCTGGGTTTCGATATGTCAGAAGTCAAATATTATTAAAAACACCACTGTTAAAAATGTCTTGGGATTTCCCGAAGATTCACCCTCAACCACTACTAGAAATTCCCAGAGGACTCTGTTATTAGATTTGATGCCAGAAAACAGCCGTTGAAGGTAGTGTGTTGAAAGTCGCCTGTGTGTTTTGAAGCTTAACTCGACACGTGAAATCTACGGAGTCCTCTGGGAATTCCCAAAGGACTTTAGGAATAGTTTTCACGAGTGTTCCTTCGTGAAATCCCAGAACTTTTTTTAACAGTGACCCAAAAGGATTTTTTTTCAGCACGATCTCTCTTTCTTTCCGTCGCTTTTCTCTCCCCGGAAACACGTACGTACACAGAGACAACAATAGCAGCAGCAGAAACAAAAACAACAACAACAACATTGACAGTCTCCCCCGGCAAGGTAATTGAAAAGCGCGGTTAAATGTCGAACGCGCGGAGGACAATGCGAAAAACAAGCAGCGAGGCGCGCGGAGCAGCGGAGGCTATACGGGGAGGAAAGGCTTTTTCGGGGGAGATGAACGAGGAAAACGAGAGCAAGCGTGTGACGGTGACTGCCTCGGACGAAGCAGCGGCAACGAGAAAAATAACAACAGTGATGTCGGTATAGGTGTACGGCCAGATTGGCGCCGCGTGGCGTGGGGCGGGGCGGGGCGGGGCGGGGTGAGGGGGAATGAATGCTTAGACTCGCTCTGGGTCACGTGACGACAGCGGCGGGGTGGCGGCGTGCTGCCGACGACAGCATGGGCGACAGGACGCGAGGTAAAAACTTTTTTGTGTGACTGTGTGTGTGTGTG